CATGCGCTATTATTTTATATAAAATATCATTATTATCATTATTGTTATTATTATTATTATCATCATCATTATTATTATCATCATCCTTGCTATTATTACCATTATTATAGTTATCATTATAAGTTTTTCTACTCTTATTTGCATTAAGCCAGGCAATAACATCCATTCTATGAATAATGCATTTCATGTTTCTGATTTGTGCCTGACGGTTTGAATGAAATATGCTGCCAAAATTATCTTTAGTATGCTGCTGTTTGTACAATTGTGTTTTCACTGCGTCCTTACTTTTAAAGAGCTAAAAGATAAAGGGTAAAATCCTCCTTGACTGGGAAAAAATAATGTTCTGCGCCGCAAAGCAAAAACTAACAAAGTTATATATTTGGGGGTCCGGTCGGTCCGACGTTGTGTCCATGGGAATGGCATTTTACACGAACGTCTCGGCCCTTTCGGAGATAGACGTTAAACTCGGAGGTCCGGCCTCTTAAATAACCTAATGATTTTGATAGGAGCGTTAAACCTATAGGCTACCACTTCACCATTTTTTCCCCACCACCCCTTTCACAGCCCGGCTATCTGGCCTTCCCCCGTATGGGCCGTAGTCAGATGAAGACGGAAACCGGAACTGACTGCTGCGGCCTCGGTATGAAAAGCGAGTTCGTGATTGGTCAAGAAGGAAAAGAAGAGCTACGTCACGGCGCCTGCAGCTCTAGTGTGGCCTGCTGTGCCGGTCTGAGAGAGATCGTGGACCAGAAACAAGATGGCGTCTTCTTCTCCATGTGTGTTCCCGACTTTGTGGCCAGCCGCAGCTCAGTAAGTCCACGGCTTTTCTCAATGGCTTGTGTTTCTTTGTATAAACCAATAGAAGATTTTTGTTGGTATGTCCCAAAGTCTAGTGTTTGTCGGTCTGTCTGTCTGTCTGTCTGTCTGTCTCTCTCTCTCTCTCTCTCTCTCTCTCTCTCTCTGCCTCTCTCTCTGTCTGTCCCTCTGTGAGTGTGTGTGTGTGTGTGTGTGTGTGTGTGTGTGTGTATGTGTGTGTGTGTGTGTTTTTGTGTGAGTTGGTGTGTGTGTTCGTGCGCGCGTGTGTGTGTATAACATAATATTTTCACAAATTACAGAAGGAACTGCGAGACAGGTATGATTCCACACTGGGGGGGGGGACATTTTTTTTAACGTAGACAGATATGATTATTACACTTACACCCCCAATAACACAATCCCGATCATTTAGAAGGCTGGTGTCGCCCCCATCGGTATGGACCAAACTGGGCTGAGAAGGATACAACTCCCAGCAGATGAAAGATATTCAATAAAAATTATTCCCACACGGAAATCGTACTCAGAATCTCTGCGTGCAACAGCAAAGTGCCTAGCCACCCACACCACAGACACCGATGAGATAAATCTGGTTGAAATAGGGATTCTAAGAATCTAAGGCTTACGTGTTTGAGATTTATCTGCGATTTATATGTATATATATTTTTTTAAACGCTAGAAGGTCATTGATAGCTATTCACACTTCCGTCCCTTGCTTTGAATGCGGTGATTCGTTTGGAAGTTAGTCTCGTAAGGAAAAAATACCCACACAAAAATAACCAAAGTGTGGTTGGCTACAGAAGAGCTTTCAGTGAGACGATGTGTCTTTAACCGATACCCTGTTTACGATTCGAGTCACGTGACTACCAGCTTTCCCGGCGCTCTCCATCAGTTTGCTCGGGATTCTACGAAAGAACCTGGTAATTTTTAACCACTTTATTCCGACCCGGCCAGAAGTCAAATCTCTCTTTAACATCTCGCGACTCCGCTCCAAGATGTGGGACGGGAGTGGACTAAAAATGTAACGGCAGTGTTTTCTAGAGATTATGCGCGCGATGCAATAATTTTGTCCTCACTGAAAGTGCAGTGGGTGAAGTAACACTAACGTCACTCAGCTCTAAAATCAGTTAGAGGGAAGGGGCG